TATTGCGAATCAGGGCATCGACATTAAATTTATACCGGCTTACTCGCCCCATTTTGGAGGTATTTGGGAGGCTGCGGTTAAGTCGACTAAGCATCTTTTAGTCGCACCCTTGGTCTTAGTCACTTAACTTATGAAGAGCTTTCGACATGTCTAAGTCAGGTAGAGGCTATTTTAAATTCCAGACCCCTGACGCCTCTATCCACCGATCCTTCTGACCTTTCTTACTTATCTCCTTCCCATTTTCTTATTGGACGGCCGCTCACCTCAGTACCGTATCCTCAAATACCTGACGGCAAGATCGAGCGACTTCAACGCTACCAGAGGATCGAAAAACTCCGTCAGCATTTCTGGGAGCGTTATACTAATGAGTATATTACTCTCTTACAACAGAGAATGAAGTGGAATTCCCCAGGTCAAGATCTGAAGATAGGCACCATGGTCCTGGTCAAGGAAGTAAATCGACCTCCACTTCTCTGGCTGATGGGCAGAGTCACTGCTGTTAAGCCAGGATCCGATGGTCGTAGCAGAGTGGCTGACATCGTTACAACGAAGGGCACCATCACACGTGCATACAATAATATTTGTCCTCTTCCAGTCTCAACTTCTACATCATCTTGAAGCCTTCGTACTTCAACCCGGGGAATATGTTCCTGACGTCACGTTCTCGTCATCGCGGTTCGGCGTTGCCATTGGCTGCTGGACCGATCCCACAGCAACAGCGGTAATCGCAAGCGCACCTCGACGTCGCGACCCCACCAACGCGACACTCGCTCACTACCACGGTGGCAAACTTCTCAATATTGTAACGATCCAACGATAAATACACAGTTCATTTTATTGAAGATTTTTATTATTCAAGAATTCCCGTTTAACCGGAGCTTGATATTCAAGGAGTTGGAGTATTCATTTTGATATATTAGGGAACATAGTAAAAGAAACCCAAAAAAAAAAAGTAATTTATCAAGTAGCAGAGTAAGCAAAAATCAAATATCAGAGTTAGTATTGTCGATCTCAGACAGAATTACAAATAAAATAATTCAGTACGAAACCCAACATATAATAAAAAATATAAGTATAAAAATAAAATAAGTTAAAATAAATAATGCACAGAAAGGGGTGACAAGAATTACATAGAATTTCAAAATGAAGTTCGTTACCTGTTGTTATTTCGATCAATCAATTCACAAACATATACACGATAATATGTAACTTGTTTTACAATATTAATTTTAATTATATTTTTGAAAAAGATATGAAATTGAGGTGGATCTAAACGATTTGCAATTACAATTTAATTAAATATTAGGAGCAAAATTCAATAAACGTTATTGTCAGAGTTGCCACATGAGTGTAGGCCCAGGTGCTAACCACACCAGTGACAGATATACATGTATGGACATACTCTTTATCGACCAATGTTTAAGGATGTTGTATCTGATATTGTTATATTACTTTTTAATCAATATTATAATTAAAGAAGCCAAATATTCGATTACATCATTTAGTTTGTTAAAATTTTATATGATTTAACTATTATAGCATGTAGTTTAGCTAATTTACAAGAATGCCTCATTAAATAAAACTGCAAAATCATTTCTCGTTTTGTTTTATTATAGAATGATATCAGAACCTACCTAGTGGCTAGATTTTTACTATGAAAATTAATGAACACACATGGCATATTCCATAACTTCATTAATAAAATTAGTGAATGCTAGATGGAAAGTTTAAAAAAAAACATGGTTCCATAATTGAGAATAATATTTGTTTGCAGGCATTCCATCTTTAATATAATTTGAAATGTTTTTGTATTGGATACTTAATCTATACAATTTTCATTTACCTATACCATCAAGTGAACCAGCAATCAGTGAATATTTTTGATTTGATATGAGACCACATTTCTACATTTTTTATGAAGTTTTAGCACCAAGTTTTTAATAATAACATTCTGTAGTGCATGCTAACATATTTATATACATACATTTATAGTGTTCATCACTACTGCGATGAATCCGCATCAGGAAGCAACACAGTCGTGACATTCTATAGAACAAATGATTTCGACTTCTATGTCACCAATCAATGTTGCTGTGTATAATTTCGGTCTGCCCTGGGCATTGTTTTGCACTGTACAATAGAAAGCTTTAGATTACGCTTCAATCGCATATAACTCTGCTTGCTCTGAATCGGGCTGTCAACCATAACAAATGATATCAAAAAACTTAACCAACTTGAAAGAGCATTAAAATATATTTATGTCTGTTATATTTGCAGTTTTCTCTTATTTTTTGTAGGAAAAGATTTAAAGAAAACCGGCAAAAATATTTTTTCGGTCAGGAATAACACGCGTTAAAAGGAAATATAACCATTGTCTCTTTCTACTGCTTTAGAATGTAATTATGTAAATCTCTTTAGCCGAAAGGTGAAACAATACTGTTCTATACGATTCGTAGTAGTTAACCTATAAAATTTTAAAAAATAATTTGTCGAAAACTATAAATTTCCGCAGAAAATCCTACGAGTGTTTACTTCAATGGCCTATTACTTACCTATTAAAATTATAACGAAAATCGTGCTGCCCTATAATAAACTAAAGACTTGTTTATACCCACAAGTATTTACTGACACATCTTGAAATAACTCATCTTTGGTTTCAGCAACACTTTATGCTTTCCCAAACCCATTAATAGATCTGGAGCGCTTTAAAGCCTGGTGTACATTGATTGGTGGACCAAATTTGCTAGGCTTAACAGATGATCACATTTATAAGTATCGACGTGTATGCCATGCACGATTTGGGAAAAGGTTTTGTTGTCGATACAATAGAATATCAAAAATTGCAATTCCTACCTTAAAAATGCCAGGTAAGCATTTTTTTTTATTTTGATTTAAGGTCTACTAATAGTAGGTACCACAGACTTATGTGAGGTAGGTACTATTTACCTCAAATAGTTTAATTAAAAATCGTTAATAAAAGATAGGTATTTCCTATCCAAATATATGTTAAAACTGGTAGCAAGTGCGCTATCTTATTTTTTATATTTTAACTCAGCCAAGCATTTGGCTACACCAACATCTGCTTCTATTGAACAGTTAGATAGTATGACATGTAGCGTGGAATATGTTCCAAGTAATTTAAAATATTGAGACAATAGAAGAAATGCCTTGCAATACTTCTGACATTTATGATATCAAGGATAAAAATACTTACACGATTGCACAGAAGTTATTATGTAATAAAGATTGTTTAAACCTGGTGCATCAAAATATTCAAGGTTTTTTAGGTAAAGACTTAGTCATAGATGATACACTTATATAGAGATAGATAGGCCACTCTCAAATCAAAAGTTGGAGTAGTAGCAGGTCCTCGGGTAACAGATGGCGTTAATTAGCATTTTGATTTCAGGCATACCGACCATAGATGGCGCTCTGAGCTTCGTATTATATTTTTTATTTATTATAATTCAGTAAATTATCAAAAATGCTTCAAAACTATGTAAAATGATATTTAAACACTAATATTAAAATATGATGCAACATAGTCTGTGAGCATTTCTGATAATTTACTGATTTAGTAAAAGTTTCGGATTAAATGAAACGATTTGATTGTTTTAATTATTTAATTAACAATATTCTCAACTACATACAATGTGATTTATTTATCTTTTCTTATTTAAATATGACATTCGCTTGCCTTTGCTTTATATAGTTATG